ATGTGCACCGAGATATAAGTGCTACAGGCTGAGTACAGCTAATCTTTCATGGTCACCTTTATCTGCAGGTCCACTCAGCCTCTTCCTATCTCTTCAGCTCTTTCAGATCGCTCATTTTTTCTTTCTGCCTGCAGCAGTGAAGCAAACATAGATCCTAGGGAGTTAAGGTGGAGCAGAGCCCACACTTGCTGGGCTGAGCCAAGCCACCTCTGCCTATCATCAGGTAGGACTAGATTCCTCCAGCATCTCAGTCCTTGTTGCTGCAGAAGGCACAGGTAGCCGCCAATACCAAGGAATCTCTGAGCCATCCTCTCCTCCCCTTGCCTTGTGCTCTATTACTGCTGCTCCCTGTCCCCAGGGCTGCTCTGAGCAGCTCCTGCCACACAATCCTCCTCCTTCACCATCATCCCAGCTCTGATCTGGGATCCTTTCCACTGAGTCACCAGGAGCTCAGGGAAAGCAGGCAGGGGGAGAGCAGCTGCATTCCCTTCATGTGGGCTGCAGCAGTGCCAGGGAACCAAAGCTTTGGCTTTCCCATTGACTCACCACAGCCTCTCCAACGTCTGCCAATGGAGCAGCCTCCCCAACGAGCAGGAGCTCAGTGCTCCAAGGTGCTTGGAGAGGCTCAGGTGGGAGAAGACAGTCCCAAAGGCCAGGCCTTCTCAAATTTACTATGCATACAGCAGTCACTGTTAGTGCCGGTAAGTAAATCCTAAAGACCTAATATTAACCTATTTACCGACAAGTAGTTTCAGGGTTGTTTTTTGGGAAGAGGAGGAGCTAGTAGTCAGGCAGAACATACCAACAGCCCTGCTGGTACAACTGCAGTAGGATTTTTCATGCTGGCTTGGCAGCTGGCATGGAACTCCCAAAAAGCAGAAAGATTGGTTGATAGTGGCTGTAAGACAAAACTGAAGGGAGAGGGAGCCAAGAAGGACACTAATGTGGTGGTCTCCTGGGAAATCTGCTCAGTAAACAGAGCTGTTTGCAGAGCCTTAGATGATCTATCAACCAGTAAAGCCTGAGAGAGGCAAGAAAGGAGAGGGGCTAGGGGAAGAGAAATTAGTGCCACCCTGGGGAGAAAAGAGTCCCCAGTTCCCTTGTAAAGCCTGAGAGAGGGAAGAATGGAAAAGGATTAGGGGGGAGAGAAATTAGTGTCACATGAGGAAGAAAAGAGCCCCTAGTTCCCTTGTAAAGCCTGAGAAAGGCAAGAACAGAGGGAAGCTAGGGAGGAGAGAAATTAGTGCCACCCTGGGGAGACGAGAGCCCCCAGAGAGCAGACAACAGCCCACACTGCCAGCTGCAAACACCACAGAGCTCAGCCCAGAGCACCCTCAGACATCCCTGGGTGCCTGTCACTCACCTGCTGCTCTCCCCCTCCTCCTCAGCCTGTGAGTCCGTGGCAGACACCGTGTTCAACGCCGTGTGGACGCTGGGCTGCAGACCCTTCATGAACAGCCAGCGCAGCGCCTGCATCTGCAGCGAGGAAGAGCGAGATGAGCTGTGAGGAAGAGCTGCTGCCAATGTCCCCTCTGCAGCACAGTGACTTCTGACAGCCCCTTGGCCTGGCAGGACCTGAGCCAAGCCACACACATCAAGGACAGCTTCTGGGCAGAGTGGGGCCAGCCTGGGCACACAGGGCAGCTGCGCCTGCTGCCACTGCAGATGCAGCTCACCAGTCCTACTGTCCCTTTCCAAGTCCAGCAGCCTGAATGCTGACTTTGTCTCCAGACTGAGCAGGAGAGGCAAGAAGGATGCACTGCTGGTTATGAACAAGGGGCTTTACTTGTTTGTTTGCCTTAGACACACATGTATTGGCTTCCCCATCCTGTAACTCTCCAATTTGCTGTGCAAGGCATCAGGTTTCTGCGACCTCTGTGAAATTCCCAGTCCATGGACATGTTATGCATGTTTTCCCACCACTGGTGACAGACTGAAGAGGAGCAATTTGCTTTCAGGAGGTTGCTCACACCCATCCCTGACTTCTTCCATCCCCTCACTACCCACCCTGACAATCTGTATATTTAAACACTTGGTGGATCCTAAAACTACTTCAAACATCTGCAGATTGGTAAGCATAAGGACTTCAGGTGTTTGTGTTACAGGCACAATTGATATTTGGGACAAAGCCTATCACTTATCAGATGTGAAATCACAGCTTTCAGTCTCAGGAGAGGAAGCTGCTTTTTCTTGGCAGTATCATCCACATCTATTTAATTACTTTCCTCCTATACCATTTAGCAAAGCTTTACCCTTCGGATCCCTTTGTGCAGACAGTGGCTGGGTATCCACCTCCATCTTTTGCACCAAGGAAACAAGAGGCTCACAGCGGCCTTGGATGAGATATCCCAAATTCTGGAGGCTTATCTGTCAGGTGACAGGAGGGTTTATGTGCTACCTCTGTGGGGCTGCTATCAGCAGCCTCAGACACCATTCCTTGGAAAACGTGGTTAATGCTTCCATCTGTTATCAGGAGCTTTTATTGCAGGCAAAATTAGAATTTCAAGTGGTATGTGGCATTCCATCTCCATCTGACACTGGCAGACAGCTTTCACCTGGGTTTCTCCTTGGAGGGAAGTTGCTACTGGGCCACGTAAATATTTCAGTGGCTTCTGCAAACATATTTGTGCTTCTGTTCTTCCATCTGCCATGAAGTTAAGGCTGCAGAAAGGGGACTGCACAAGAGTGGAAAGAGTCTATCTTAGTTACTTTTCTCCCAGTTTGAGTTTAAGTGGATGCACAGAGCTATAAATGATTTAAGCCCTGCACTCCTGTTTTTGTCAGTCACATTTGCTTCACAGCAATGAGACATCCACCTGTCCCCAAACAGGCTGAAGCAACAAGAGCCACTGGTGGCGGCAAGAGCAGGAAAATGGAAGTGACTGTGTGGGGTGTCCTGGGACATCTTCCACTAAGTAGGACCTTAATTTACACTGATCAGACTCAAAGACATCCTTTCCTAGCTGGGCTAATGCCAGTACTGCACTGCCAAGGTTCATCACTCTGTGTCTGTCAGAGCATGAGTTTGGACAGACAACCTTGATCATCCACCTGAGAAATGCATATTTTTGGCTAAAGGTGGGAAGGAAACATTCCTCATTCCAGACACTTTCCAAGCTTTGTATTTTGGTGGTGAAATGGTGCCTGTTGCCAGTTTCAATGTGAACATCCTCTTGTGATTAAATGACAACATTTAAAAGAAAAAATGAAATTAAAATACCTATATTGTCTATGCTCAATAGCCAACTGGCTGGCAAAGGTCTTAAAGTGCCTTACAGTTCGAGGGATATCAGCTCAAAGCCAAGCAGATGGCAGGGGATGGCATATACTGGAGGAATCCAAGGGTTCTGAACAAAATCTTTCTCTCCAGACACTGATGTGTTGGAGACACCACTAACATCAATCACAACTTCTTCCTGCTTTCAGACCCCCATTCATCCCAAACTCCACAGACTGCAGGTCAGGCTACTGAATAGGTACATTTTTCACTGTGGTAATCTGAAAACCCCCAACAGCAACTCCACAAGGAAACATTTGAGCCTTCAAGCTGTGGCAATGACTCAAGAAAACCACCAGGAGCAAAGCAGTGCAGGAACTCCAGTAAAACTGCATCCAAACTAAAAGTCATTCCTAGCCATGGAAGCAGTTCATCATGGGACTCACCAGGCTGATGCATAAACCTTGGGTCATCTCCATTTCCACCCTGCTCTGGGCAGGAAGAGGACACTGTGTTCACCTCATGGCTTCCCATGGACTTTGTGACTCCTGCTGATGTTCTGTCCATTCAGGCAGTGTGCCCTCCCCCAGCAGCAATCTCTGTTTCCACTGAGGACAGAAAAGTAGAGACTAGGATGGCAGGAAATAGGTGTCCACACCTGGACATCCTGAGTTCAAACTCTCACTTTACATCCTAGGAGAGAATGAGGAGACACCAGGCAGAACACTGACAGCAGCACTGATGCAGCTCAGACTTTGAGCCATGGTTGGCAGTGCTGGTGAGACCTCCAGGAGCACCAGTTGGATGTGCTGCCTTCCTGCACACCCAGTGCCTGCTCCTGCAATGTGTCTTCCTTCCACAGGTTAAACTGAACAGACAAATCCCTCAGCTCTCAGATGGGTTTGGCCTTTGACTTCATGCCCAGCGTGTAATGCTGACAAAGACGACAGATGGAAGCAAGAGGTAAAATGGGGAGAGCTAAAAGGCTTTGAAAAATGGTTTTGTTTGTGCCTAGAAGACATTCCCTCCACATCAAAGGAGGAATGGCCACAGGGCATGGCAGACAGCAGACCCACTATCCTGCCTGTAGGGCAAACTAAACACCTTTCCAGACTGCTCCATTCCCTTGGCCACAGAGTCTCCTCACTGCTCTTCCAGGTCATTTGGCTAAAAAGCTGCAGAGTGGAGAAGCTGCTTCAGATAAATTTGTGAGGAAGAATCAAGTAATGTGCACAATCACTGCAGTGAGCAAGGGAAGGAACCTCTCCCTCCATCACTCCCCCACAGCCCTTTCACACCAACAAACACCACCAGTTGCCTCTCCAGAAGGCACCAGATAATTAATTTCACTTCCCAGCTCTTGTTTTATCAAAACAAATACATTTAGCAGGGGCTGTCTGAACCAAGGTGAGACAGCAGGAAAATGCCCCTGTGGTCCTCATGCAGATGCCTGAACCAAGGTGAGACAGCAGGCAAATGCCCCTGTGGTCCTCATGCAGATGTGAATCAGCAGAACAGCAATCCTAGGAGGAGGCTTTTTCCTTGCTTTTGTTTTCACATATGGTTAGATATCACATGAAAAGTGTCTCTGCACTTACATCTACTTACCATCACAGAAATGTTTTCATTTACTCTAACACACACTCCTAGGTTGGAAAAGCAGCCATGAAGCCATTTCGAAAAATCATGAAAGTCTCAGGCCATTAAATGCCCATTCCTCACTGGAATCTCCCTCCCTTCCCAGCACACATAAATCTGTGAAATGGAATATAGCTGAGGTGATTTCTGACTCCCTTCTAAATGGTCCCTTCAATGGACTCCACATCCATTTGAGAGCAGCAACAAATTTAGGCTTTCACAGCAATTTGGCTGTTTCCAAACAAAGCAGAACACAGGCAGTGAAGGGAAGGGGGGACCCCAGCAGAGCTCCAAACAGGCAGGACAGAGCTGCACACTGAGAAGCTTCTTGCAGCAAACCTCAGGAAGACACTGTGGTGCCACAGCCAACACTGGAGACAGCAACAGATCCTTCCTCTCTCATGCTCCAGCCCTGCCTCTCCTGCTTTGTCCCTCACTGCTCACTCTGCCTCCTTCCTTTCACCCCATGCCTCCAACCCTTCACCATGCAGTGCTCCTGATGAAACCCAGAGGAGCATGAGCTGATCATCTGTCATATTTCCTTTGGAAGGAGCTTGACAGCCCAAAAAGATTCCTGACAACCACTATGCCACCACTGTCACCAGTGATTGTGTCCCCAGCCAGCTCACCCACAGGAGACTGAAATCACAACGGTCACTCAGACAGCACTGCTGTGTCTCCTGTCACCAGGCTCTCTGGGGACAATCCTGTCCCCAGAACGGCCCACATTAAAGATGATAGCTATAAATAATTAATGTCTCTTTCCCCAGGGCAGTGCATCTCAACTTCCAAACAAACACTTGGCAGCAGCAAGTGTGGCTGGGGGGTGTTTATAGGTGTTTAATGGTGTTTCTCTTACAATCAAGGTGCACTTAGGAGAGGCATTTTTGGTGGTGGGAGAAGAGGGAGAAAAATTATACACTAGTACAAGAGCAAACACTGTTAAACTGCATGCAATTAGCAAAAGACACTAAAAAATCCAATCTTATGAAATACCTTTTGCTATTTAAAATAACATTTGAATGTGGCTGTAATGGATCTGAGCTTTAGCTGCCTGTAATGACAATTGTACAGCTCTGAGGAACTTGCACATGATGAGACAAGAGTATTTTATACATGTTTTTATTAACAGTCATCCAAAAGCTTCAGCATCACTCACAGAGCTGCACAGCAAACACATTCAGCTATGATACTATTTGTACTGTCTGATGCAAGAAGGGCTTGGATAACATTTGTTTAGCCAAGGACGAACAGCCCTGGAACCTGCAGGTGGGTGT